ATGGCCAAGTTTGGACAACACTGCTCTAAAGCTCTTCAAACTTGGCCATTTTAATATGTGTGCACTTCAACACTTCAACTCCCAGAATTCCCCAGCCACCACGTGTGGGATTCAACTCCCAGAATTCTCCAGCCAGCATGCTCCAAGGGAGAACCAAATGTGCTGGTGTGTAGCCTCCAGGCGTCTGTGGGGAAATGACGGACTGCACATCGGGCTACACACCTTGTGACTTAAATTCTTGCCTCGGATCTCGGTATGCAAATACGAAAGTCTGGTTTTGCATTGCGGCATTGCAATGCAAGTTTCCTTTTCTCCCCATCACTGCAGGGGAAATTATAGCAAGTGGCTGTGGCTTAAATTCTGTGGCCATTATGACAAGGTTATTCCACAGACCTCCTCCGATCTGGGTAGGAAGTCAAGCGCAGTTCACATCGACGTCTCCCACGGCAGGTCTGTGCGACATGCAGCCCGTGGCCACCTGCAGCCTGCCAAGCAGACTTTGCAGCCCGCTGGCGTCTTTCAAAAGCTCAGATGCGCTGTTGCCAAAGGTTTCTGCCACCGAGGGCTTCCGACATCTCCAGGCCTCACCGACGCCACCAGCAATACCCCTCCCACCGCTCCACTAGCCCTGAATAGCTGATCGGTGCGCTATCTATTCCTCTGCAGCTTGAGGTTATTTTTAATTGATCAACGTGGCCCTCTCCCCTCCGGAAATTGTGCGGGCTGGCCCTGTGGCAGTAGCGTACAATCGCACAGTGGTACCTCAGCAACTGTGACTTCCCTGGGAAGATATGCCAATGGGCGTATGCACCGCATAGGCAAATGTGCACGTGCTCTGCTCTCAGATACATATGCACTACTATTGAACCCCACTTCCAACAGCGATGTGCTGAGATCTAGGGGGGTTCACTTTGCAGTGTTTAGAGGCATCCAAGTTAAATCCGGCCAAGTTAAATCCAGCCAGTGCAATTCTCCTTGGCCCTGACTGAGCCCAGGGTGTGGATCCAGCCCTTCTGGTCCATAAACCCTGATTATGGCTTAGTGGGTGGTGTGAACCCAGGCAACTGAGACTAATTCAGCTAACAGTGGTTAAGAAAGCCTGGCGTAACTAGACAGATGTCGAGAGTCAGGAAGATGACCTTGATAGAAATATGCAGGAACTGTTCCCCAGGCAAAAGGGGCTGACATGCTTTTTAAGTCAAGAGCACTGAGATAACATTCAGACAGACACCTCCCTGATTCACAGGAGTATAAGAAGGGGGAGGAGGTGCAGCACAATCAGACCTGCATGATTCTGTCATTATAGCCCCTCTCAATAAAAGTGGGTTTAACTTCCCGTGGAGTTGATTTCCTGGTCTGGTCTACCTTCTGGGGTTGACAACAGGGGTACCCAGTTTCTTTCCTTCCTCCCTCCCTCCCTCCCTCCGTAGGAATGAATGAATGAATGAATGAATGAATTAATTAATTAATTAATTAATGAAGTATGTAGAGGTGCCCAGTGTTGTCCTACCTGGGAGCTCTCGGTCCCTGGCTGCTGAAGGAGTTTGACGGGTCTCCCCCCGGCCGTCCTCTGGCTTCGCCCATCATGCCAGGTGAGATTGCCGCCTGAATTCCTCTGCAGGCGGTAACTGAGGTTCTCGGCTGACACAGTGTGCTCCAGAAGATTCGGGCAGAAGCCAAAGTGAGTAGCAGCCACTGCGGAGCAGAAAAGGTCCAAACTTAGCACTCAGCTTCCACAAACCGGTCACCCACCACATGATGCAGGCCACGGTACCACAACCCCAATGGTGTTTTTATGCCACCTTAGGCCACCATTTTTTTTTCAGGATCAACAGCTGCGCTGAGCTTTTGAGCAAACGGCAGGAAGGAAGCAGGACCAGCGGGCAGGGCAGGAAGACGCCAGCTTTGATTGAATTTAACGCCAGTTTAATTCCATTAATTGCACCCACATTGTGCGCTCACTCTCGGGCAGTTAATAACCTCCCCCTTCAGTCGCAAAGAGAACGGTCGTAGCTGCTTTTGGAAATGCTCTGCAGGCCGCACCTATGGTTGGCTTGTTTATTTATTTAAATTAAATCAATACCACCATCGCTTGGATTTTATCATATTCAATAATTGTATTTATGCTGTACTATTTATGTTTTTATCCGTTTTAACTGTTTGGTTGTGAACCGCCCAGAGTCCCTCCTTGAGGGGGAGTTGGGTGGTGATATAAATTTGATTTATAAATAAATAAATAAATAAATAAATAAATAAATAAATTGATAGGGCCACTTAACTCTATAAGGACACTGGTTTGGGGGTGCACAGGTGGACCCCATCCATCCTCATGACATCCCTGGGTGGTAGATTCACGTTAGGCTTTGTAAGTGTCCTTGCCAGCTTCCTGGTTGTTCTTGGTCCTAATGCAGCACTCTAACCACTATGCTACACAGCCCTCAGTGCAGCCAATGAATAATACAGGGCACATTAAATAGCAACCATTAAGCATGTCGCCCTCTAGTGGCCTTTTGCAGCACTGCAGCCCACATCTGGCAGGTCTGGATAACATTGCACTCATCTGCACGAACCAGGCATTTCCAAAAGAGCCCCCATCCGAGCAGTTGCACCACAGGGTCCCAAATTCCCACCCAAAATCCCGCCTTTGGGATTATGGGACTTGTAGTCCAGCACATCCAGAGGACACCGTTGGAATCTGCAGCCCACATCTGAATTTCCAAACAGCTCTGTAAAAAGAGCTGTTCAGACTCGGACAGTTCAAACAGCCCTACCTTGCTTGGGAGAAAAAGATGAAGGTGTCGGAAAGAAAATGGCTGTGTTCACACAACCTGCTTAACCAGGCCAGCTGCAAATGTAACAGCTGCACTTACAGAATGAACAAAGCTTGGTTAAGTTTTAATTTCTCTTGGGTTTGGAAGGCTGGTCTGATCTGCCTGTTGGGTTAGTTCATAGTTACACGTAAACCAGTGTTTTTCAAACTTGACGACTTTAAGATGCCTGAACTTCAACTCCCAGAATTCCCCAGCCAGCATGGCTGGCTGGGGAATTCTGGGAGTTGAAGTCCACGCATCTTAAAGTCGTCAAGTTTGAAAAACACTGTTGTAAACTAAGCTCCCAATTGGGTTAGTATATGGTTTTATGCACAAGGCAAACCCAGAAAACATTTCAACATCTACACGAAATTGCTGGGTGAGGTCATCTGCCGGTTTGGGGTTTGGGGTCATCAATATGCTGATGATACCCAGTTGTATCTTTTGATCCCGGGCGAGTCAAGTGAGCAGGTCGAGGTTCTGTGCCAGGGCCTGGAGGCTGTGTGGGTTTGGATGGGGAAGAACCATCTCCGACTCGAGCCTACCAGGACTGAGTGGCTATGCATGTTTGGGCCACCCAGATTCCAACTCTGACCTTGGATGAAGCTGCACTTCCTCATTCAAGGTTGGTGCGCAATTTGGGGGTCTTCCTGGACTCAAAGCTCCTGCTTGACAAGCAGGTGTCAGCTGTGGGCAGAAAGGCTTCATCTGGTGCGCCAGCTGCACTCTTTCCTAGATGGAGAGGCCCTTCAGACAGTCACTCATGCCCTGGTCAACTCATGGCTTGACTACTGCAACACGCTCTACGTGGGGCTGCCCTTGAAGACCTCCCAGGAGCTTCAGCTGGTCCAGAATGCAGCGGCACGGGCAGGGATGGGCAGGCCTCCGTATGCTCACACCTCTGCTTCATGAGCTGCACTGGTTGCTGGTTTGCTTCTGGGTGTGATTCAAGGTGCAGGTCGCTTCCTATAAAGCCCTCCATGGCATAGGGCCTGGTTCCTGGAGGGGCCGCCTGTCTCCCATAGCATCTGCCTGACCTGTTCCAATCTGGCAGGGTTGGCACACTCCAGGTGCCTTCGATGATCAAATCCAATCAACCCTTTATTACGGTCACAGACCAGCCGACCTTCGATTAAACGATGCCACCTATTGAGACCCTGGAAGCACACCTCCTCTGTAGCAGCCCTCTAGATCGAGGCTCCCCCCCAAAATCAAATACCACGCCCCCCCCCCCCCCCC